TTTATTTTATAAAGTTTGTTTAAATTTCTTGAATTATTTCGAATTGTTGCGATTTGTTGCGAATTGTTTCGAATTTACCCGAAATGTTCTAACGTAGATTGAATTTTTTTTTTAATATATTACGTAATATTTCGTAATATTTTTGCATAATATTATGTTTTTGATTATTGCGCAATATTGCGTGTCAATCGTAATTATTGCACAATATTATGGTCTGTAATTTCTTACGTAAGATTATGTTTATATATTTTGCTGATGCAAATGATTAGTGATAAATGTTTAGCAACATGGTTAGACGAAATATAAATAATTTCAAGTGTATATGATAAAGAAAGAAATTTATAGGAATGCACACAGTCACATATACTATCATATAAAGTAGAGCTTAAAACATTAACTATATTATTAAATTTAATAGATAAGTTAAAAAAAGTAAGTTATATTTAAATTATAGCACTACCTGTAAGTTGTTTTATCTTAATTTATATTTTGATTTATAAATATTTAATAAGTTTATAGATTATGTGTGGTTGAAAAATAGTATATGAACTGCAGAGATGGGTTATGCATAAGTATAGTTCTTGAAAGGATAGTTATGATTATTAATACTGGTGTTAAGTGAGTTTTAAAATCAGTTTTTGCTGAGATATCTTTGCTGAAATTTTTAAAAAAACTCCATTAATGAAATTATATAGTTACACAAAATCGATCTATCCGATCTTCCGAGGTGTCCTAACCGAACCCCCGTACCCCGTGACCACACCTGGCTTTAGACGGTCTCCCCAACCTTGGCATGATCTACCAGCCAATCAAATTTAATCTGATGATCTGGATCAACAACCAATTAAAACAAATTTCTATCATGCTTGTTAACGACTAGTTTATCAAATCGCGAAATTACAAAAATTACTACGGTGGGCAATAACAGTCATGGTTAGATCGCTATTATTGGAGACAGTCTTGGTTTTGATTTTTTCTCTTACAATACAAGTGCAGTATGCCTTTGGAATTTATGCAGATCAAGCTGGAATAAATGACTGGTAGTTGATTTTTATTAAGCAATTTTTATGAAACAACTTGGTAGTATTTAAATTGTAGTCATTTTATAGGCATCAACAATATATAGGTACGCCAAAGCGTTCCTTTTTTCATCGGCTTCCAGTTCGTGGGGCTACAATCTTAATTGCTTCCGAGAGTAATGTTATAGCCTCTATAAAACCTTTTAATGGGAATATTGGTTAGTACTAACAATTTATCGTTTCTTAAACAAAAGCGAGATTTTATCCTTATTATCTTAAAATCAAATTTTATACTAACTGAATTGATTACTTAACAGAGTGGCGCCAAGTCCTTGAAGGTGAAATTATATTGGCCTTCAAGGGTCATAATGGCAGTAAGTAGATCGTATTCAATCAGATCACATTGTTTTACAATTAGATAATGATATAGCTATTGTTGTAATAGACGTGATTTCTGTATCCGAACGTGATGGATACATTGTTCGGCTTTGGGAAATTCAAACAGGATTTATGCTTTGGGAAAAAAAAATCAGGCCTGCCGAATTTAATCGTATAAATTCGAGCAGTGGTGACGAAAAAGTAGATGTTGTATTTACGACAGACAACATGAGTGTAGTCGTACTTGTCGGTGGACATACCATTGTAAACTTTAATAATATTGATGGTAGACAGATCTGGAGATCGGATTTGGCAGAAAGGTATTCGTAGTTTTGTATAGGGCTGTATCATTTCATACCTTTATATTTATATTTTGTTTATATGCGAGCTTAGTCCTACGCTTTTACATAAACTCGTCGAACATAATCAAAATATTTACGCCATTGGACTCAAAAAATCCTTTAAGTCCTATTCTATTGAAGTGGTAACTTATGATATTCAGACCGGGGTTTTAAAATCGACATCTCTTTCTTCAAAAATTGGACACATTAAAGATATGATTGTGGTGGGTGGAGGATTAAACAACGGATTCATTGTTTGGAAAGAGGGACAGTATGTACGTGTTAATCGTTTGGGTAGTGACACTATCGAACAATCATCGCTAGAGGTAACTACAGAATGATGTTTAGCATTTAAGATAATGCAGCTTTTTATAAGGAATTCTAAAGTTCAATATATTATTTGAAGTCACTTTACCGCAACGTCATACCGTCATTTGCTGGTGTTATTGGAGACCTTGAATTTGTTAATCTCAACATAAGTTCAAGGACAGAATTTCTTATTCAGGCGCCTACAGCAAATGGCAATTCCGCTGCTGTGTTCAAGATAGACTTGGAAAGTGGTCGGCTAACGGCGCTCTATGATTTAGGACATAGGGTAATTTTTAATTTTAATTGTACCGTTTTCTTTTATGTTGACTAATTAGATATTTGATTGTTTCTTTAGAATAGTACTTCGATTTATTCTGGTGCTCTTGATAAAAGCGAACAATTAATTATATCTAGAATTAGAATATTATCCAAGGTAATTCATTGAACATGTAGTCACATTCGCGGTATTATAACAGAGTTAATGAGATAAACATTTCATAATTACCAAATTATTTCATAAATTTTTTGCATATATTCATGTATGTTTTTAATAGGACCTTGTTAAAGTTGAAATTGTTGCACCCGCTGATCGCTTAGCATTAGGGAGTTATGAAATTTCTTATTCTATGGCTGCTTCTGGAGGCATAACGAAAGTAAGGCTTTTTATGTAATATATCTGTTTATTTTTATTTTTGTTTAAATTCTAACATTAATTTATAGTCATTGCTCGATGTTACTACAAAAAAAATTAATGAAACTACATCTGTGGCTTATCGTATGCTCGTAATTTCTGATGATGGTTCTGTACATTTTTTTAAAGAAGACAATATTGCTTGGAAAAGAGAAGAATCTCTCACACGCGCCATGGAGGTGGAATTTCTCGATTTACCAGAGAAAAAATTATGGACTCAAGAAGTTGATGAGCTTGGTATGAAATTCGACTCACAATTGCCTATAGTAATTATTAAGGTTCATGGCATAGGGCACATTCCCACGAGCCAAAAGGCATGCCCTAGTTAAAAATTCATATTTGTAAATTCTTAAAATTTTTATTAAAATATATATTGTCTTTACAGCAAATAATTTTGATCTACCAGTTCATTTGATAGTTTATCACCAAAAATTGACCACCTTAATGAGATGATTCTGACGAGTCTAAAATTGCTAAAATTTCATTACTGGATTACGAAATCGTTAAATATTTGTATGTTTAAAGAATTAGCTATCGAAGTTATACGATACGGCCTTTAACGATCTCGTGATCCCATAATTTGGTTTTAATGACTTTTAAGCTTGTTAGAATACTCATTGAGATGGTCAGTTTTATGGTAAAAGCAACTGATAAATTAAAAGTTATTTGTAAAGGATAATATATATATTCAGTGCCTTAAATTAACGTTTGCATGAAATTGAAGCTGGATTTTAGGATCAGTTTAGGGTTAAAATTAGGTATAATCTAAATGAATGATTGTAATTATCTAATTTTGGTCATCTGAGATGCGCCAGTTGTGATCTCACGCAAACGTATTCTGGAGTGCAATATATAAATTTTTTAGATTAATGAATAGGGGCATGCCCATGTGAATGAAGGTTATGTTTCAAACCAAGGCACGCACATAATGTATTTTTTACTAATTAACATCGGAATATAGACGAACAATCAGAAGAATCAGAAACTATATCACCTCTCGCCAGATACGTTCGACGATTGATAAATCATATTGAGCAACTTAAGGTTCGCCATTATCATTTGCATATTATATTTAGACTATAAATATAATTTTCTGATGAAAATAAACATATACTCGCTTTAATAAATAATAGGATTTTCCAGACTACCTACTTACTTATGTTCAGCGATTTGCTACTGGCAATTATTCAGTTGATCCATCACCAACGTCTAAGGCAAAGACGAGCTTATACAGAGATACTTTTGGGTTCCGTAAGCTGCTAATTTTTATGACTCGAACAAAATTAGTGGCTTTAGATACTAGTAACAAAGGACAAATAGTTTGGTCTCGGTATTTTGGTGGCATAATATCCGAATTTCAGAAAATATTTGTCGTTAGATCATCTACTGTCAAGTATCCACCTGTTATCGTCGCGATAGGGGTGCAAAAAAACCTCGGCGTACGTAATTCATTGATCGAATATTTGCTGTATTGTCGCGAAATAACGCAGAGCGTTATTTAGAATATTGGCCCGAATTAAGCTTAATTTAGGTCAAAATTTGAAATTACACCCTGTTCGACAATACGGTACTTGAAAATATATAAAGTGATTAAATAATTTATTTATTTATTATTACTTTTAATAATAGAAAGGCAATATAACCTGTCTTTTCAGATTAAATGCGCTTACTGGGGAAGATTTTGTTACTGATCATGAAATAGTCGCACTTACAGAGGATAATGTCCCTTTTAGTATCCCCACAACCGCTCATCGAATTTTTAAATTGCCAGTAGAAGAACCTGACGAAAGAACGCACATAATTGCGTTACTAGATGAAGATTTAAAGGCAAGGTTAATGTTATAATTTGGCGTGCATTCTGAATACTTTTTATAATATGATTTATAACATCAATATTACTTATTATTGTATATTTATGGAAATTTTTACGCGTGTTTCTGGAATGTGTATAGCTTCACATCTATCCAAACCATAAAAGCTCGTTAAAAGCTTTCCAAAAGTTCGCAGCATCATTCTATTTTACACTATCCGAAGGTATTGGTGGTAAAAGTTTAAATGGATATAACGTTGTCGTTGACAAAATTTCACAGGTTTGTGAGTTATATACGATTTTTTATACTGTACTTTTCATAAATATCACTTTAAATTCACACATTCTATTAATTCCTTTGGAATAGCCTTTCAGTATTAATAGACTTTGGAAATTCAGCTTTCCAGAGGGAAATACTATAGTGGCAATTGGACATAAGCCTAATCATGGTAATAATATTTGTTGATCTTGATTTAGAAATATCATTAACAAACTTTTTCGCTTCATGCATTAGAGAAAGTTGCTTCACTTGGCAGAGTTCTCGGTGATCGCTCAGTTCTATATAAATACCTTAATCCAAACATCGTCGCCGTTGCCACGTTGTCTCCTTCATCGTCTCTCGACTTTTACCTGATTGATATTATTAAGGGGTCTATACTATATCATGCTGCACATGAGAATGTTAGCCCTTCACATTCTGTACAGATTATCCAAGTTGAAAATACAATTGTGTACCATTTTTGGAGCGAGGGAATGGAGAAAGGATACAATGTTGTTGTATGTGATTTATACGAAAGTGAAAAGCCGGATGAAAGATTTGATAAGTATGTTTGTGATAAAAATCCATCCATAATATAATAATATAATAATATAGCGTTTTATTCCTATTTTCTTTTTTAGTTCCAATTTTACTTCGTTCTCGAATGAACGTCCGCATGTAAATGCACAAGCATTCATGTTCCCCTATGGTATCAGGACTATTGGTGTTACAACAACTAAGAATGGCATTCCAGTACGAGAATTTTTATGTATGTTTTCTTAATTTAACGCATAGTTTTATTCCATTACTTTTACCGGTTTGACACATAATTGGACTTTATAGTTGCGCTGGATACAGATCAAGTCTTTGGTTTATCTAAAAGATTTCTTGATCCGCGAAGACCACAACGCGCTTTAACGAATGAAGACAAGGAAGAAATGCTGATACCATATGAACCAGCAATTCCCGACAATAAGAAGTTTATTTTAAGTTATAATTTACCGGTATTGTTTCCTTTCGCTAAATCCTCCTTTTGTTTCAATACAATGCCTTTATTAATATAACTCTTTTTCAGATTTATGGAATTCGCCATATTGCAACATCACCTGCTCTTTTAGAATCAACTTCACTTGTGCTTGCATATGGTTTAGATTTGTGGTTTACGCGAGAAGCACCTTCCAAAACTTTTGATGTTCTAAGTGAAGACTTTAGCAAGGGAACATTATTAGCAACCATTTTGGGGTTGGTTATAGGAATTCTTATCACAAAACCACCGGTATGTGACAATAATATTACAAATTATTTTTAATAGAATAACTCATTGTTAATGTAAGATTTTTTTTATAGGTTCGACGAAAAAATATTAATTCGCGATGGTATTAAACAAAGTTGATTACAAATGTAACTATGAAATGTTTCCTAGAGAATTAAAATTTATTAAATATGAATTTAAAATGTGAAAATTGTATTTTGTGAAATCAAAATTTCGAATCTTTTTAGAAATAGTCTATCACTATTATTAAGCAAGCCTATAACAAACTATAAACTTAAACATTATC